CACAGCCTGTGAAATGCATCTTTTAAGTCCATCTCCCTACCTGTCAGAGAGCCACCATGTGACTTTCTGGAGGGATCACCAGAACCAAGGGGTGCAACACAGATGTGGGAGTAGTCCCACTTTAGTGTTGTGTGAAGCAGTAAAATTCCACTCTCTTGAGAGCCTATAGCGGCTACCATCTTGATGGATTTAGCTTGGTGGTGGATTCAGCTTGGGTTAGGCATTCTCTTTCCTCTCCCAACCCTTTGGGTCCTTGAACAACCTTCTGCTTGTGATAGTTACACATGACTGGTCTCTCAGATAAGCATTCACAAGTTTGCCTTTCCCCCTTGTTTACAAGTCTGTCTTCATTATGACTGGATTGGTCTCTCAGATAACTGTTGGCAAGTTTGCCTTTCCCTATTTCTTGAAATTTCTCTTCCTTTGTTTGACAGGTTTGTCTTGTGTTCAGGGGAAAAGGGAGTTAAAGGACAGTTGTTAAGGAAAAGGCAGGCGCCCACCTGTTTCCATCTCCAGGCTGAGCCCGGCTCCCTCCCCTTTGCAGACCCTTGCCAATCTCCCCCCTTTTGTTTTCTTTTATATAAATAACCCTGCACCCTGCCAACAAGCAGGACAGTGGTCTTTCAGACATGAGTCTGCTGCCCTCTTCACTTGGTGACAAATTAAACCACTTTCTTTTTCCTCAAACTTGGTTTCCTTTTATCAGCGGAGGGAAACTGGGCCTTTTGGCAATACTTATGTTTCATGTTTCCTTTTGGCAATACGTACGTTGTCTTCAGTTTGTTTTGGTGCCTTTGTTTTCAGGCCATGGAGCTCAGCTTTAGGTTAGGTTCTGCTGTTTGGCGAAACATTTGCCCACCAGGGAACGGTTCCAAATTTGCTCAGGTCACGGTATACTGAATTTTCCTTCTCCCCCTATTCCCTTTGAAACCCTCACTGATTAAAAATCTTTGAGCACACTAAAATTTGACTTTTATGTATTTTATGTAAATCCTGTTGTTCATGTTGATACAAAATATATGGCTTTGAACACAATTGTTACCTAGTGATTGAATCAAAAAGATCAAATTTTATTGAATATAAGTTAATTAGCTTTAACTGCTTATTTACAACCTTAACTCAGTGTTTTCCAAGGAATCAGCTGGATTCCCAGGTCACCCCTCAGAGGTTTTAACTCAGTGGGGTGGGCTGGGGAAAACAAAAGTCTTTTCTTCATTCCTCTTTCTTACACAAGCACCTTAGTGTTTCTTAAGGTCAAGCTAGGGAACCCCACCCTAGGTAACAGCAAAGGTATATACAAGTATATGGGATAGAAAATTAAAGTTACTTCAATTTAGAATGTATCTTAAAGCTGTAATTTATTGCTCAGTGGAGATGAAAAGGCAGTCAACATATGAGTCAGCCATTTTTTAGTTTAGCTATTGATTAGTTTAAAAAACAGAAGGTCAAGATAGAAGCTATGTTTGGTAAGCTTTCTGATTTTGTTCCTTTAGAATCTTCATCCTATTAAGGATAAACAATAACCTTTGAGAGTTAGGTGAGGCTGTTGATAATCACAAACACGAATTGTTACAACTATTCAGGTTAGCTTGACACACAAATTTCTATGGAACTTAATAATTTGAATCATTCTTAAATCCTGATTCTGTCTTTACCAGGAAATTCTCAGATCTCATTTTTATACTTGAGAGAAGAATGTCACATATGAATGTCTACACAACACTTTACTATTTAAATTATTAAATTGGTGCTTTGGATTATGACTCCTTTAAGAATGTCTCGTATGGAATTATTCCTCAGATCAGAGCAACCCCCTTTGAAGGCCTGAAAAGTAAAAGTGAAATCCAATTCCTGCACATGGCCTGATCTCTACTGGTAGCTCATTCTCTAACACTCTTAGTTATATTAACTACTATCACAGAGATTGTATGGAGAGGACAACTTCAAAATTAATTCCAGATATAAGAATTGCATTGTGGGCCTTTCCTGGTGGTGCAACAGTGAGAACACTAAGAAGCTATCCACAACCATTTCAGCACAAGTTCAATCCTTGGCAAGGGAGCTGACTCACATGGCACAGCAGACCTCTCCTGTCTCATCTACTGCTCCACTCAGTGCGGAGGGAAGCAGAGGGTGAGATAGGAGAGGTCTGTTGTGCCATGTGAGTCAGCTCCGGGTCCAGGAATCGAACTCACGCCAAAGCGGCTGCAGCTAGCCTCGCAATGCTGTGCTTTAACCCACTGTGCCACCAGGAAGGGCCCCATATATTTATTGTATTATGAGGGAAGAGAGTATACAGAACAGTGTAAGAAGAGTAAACCAAAGTTCTGTGAAAAAAAGAAACTGTACCAAAAAAAAAAAATTAATGATTAGCTCTGAGATATCAGTTAGTAAAAGTGGGGTGTGGTAATGATGCTGGATTAAGCAAATATCATAAATACGTCCCATCAAGTTCAAAGATCAAAATATTTTGCTTTAGGGCCAGAAGGGACCACACCAGAAAAGTCACTAAGGGGACTCATGCTTCAGTAAATAACAGGTGGGTCGAGAGAAATACCTGAAAGCTGTGATCTGGGGTGGGAAAGCTGCCATGCAAACTGCAGTCTTCATATTGTGCCAACATGCTGGAAGGAAGAGTTGAATTATGTGGATACATATACCATTGGCAGAAGGGGGAAATATAAGGAGCTGTGTGCTCCCCACAGAACGGGGAGCAGTGAAAAGAACAAGGACACTGTTCTACACTGCATACCACCTACCCCCACACCAAAGGTGTGGAATTGATCTCGTGAAGCACTCTGATAGCACACAGAGGCTGAGGTCTAAAACCCCAGAGAAATTGCATCACTGATACCGCAAATACAAACCATTCCTCACAAAGCATTCACTCCAATAGCTAAATTCCTACAGACTTGTACACACTCACTGACACAGTGACTGCAAGAACAGGAATCCAGAAACCTAAATAGCCAGAAAAGGGCAAAGAAAAAAAGACATAAGCCACACTGCATACTGATGAAAAAGCAGAGGTAATGTGCATCTCTAGGTGACTATTATAGTGAGGTTTGCTAACATACTTCAGAAGACATGTGAACCTATACCTCTGAATAACAGAGTACTTCAGTTTAAAAAAAAAATATGAAACGAGGTAAATTTTCATTTAAATATGGTTTCTAAAGACCAAAGATGCTTGTAGTATGTTATCTTGAAAAGTCTGTTTACAACATCAGAAAAGCAAAAGGAGACAGAAAATGTTAGAGAAAAGACTGATCTTTTAAAGAATATATCCATGAAACTCTAGCCTTTTAAACTTTTCTGGTTTCCTTTCTATCTACCTATCTATCTATCTACACACACACACACACGCACGCACGCACACACATATGTTAATTTATATATACATATATGGTATGGCAGGGCACCCAGTGACATTAAGACATTTCAAAATGATGAATTCACAGGGGGACTATACAGTGGTGACCTTCAGCTCACTTATATTGCTAGAATTCTGAAAACTATTTACTTTTAATAGGGGAACTAAATGCAGCTAGACTGCTGAATTGGATCTTAGAACAAATGAATATTAATGGAAAACAGTGAAATCTAAATAATATGTAATTTAACAGTAATGTACCAATATTACAATAACTTTTTAGTTTTGTTGAATGTACCTGATTATATAACATTTAATTCTATGGGAAGGTGGCCACAGGGTAATCATTCTGCAGTATCTCTGCAACAACTTATCTAGAAATCTAAATTTATTCCAAAATTAAGTTTATAGACAACTGAATATGGTGTATAAAACTAGACCTTCAGAGATGGATGTGGTGTGGTATAGACATCTGTTGAGGAATGAAGCTGTACTTCTGAAGCATACACATTGTTGTAAACAATGTCACCTCCGTAAAAGTGAGTGAATGATTGAAATCTTTGAGAGCTGAGAACGATTTTACCAAATTCAATGAGGAGAGTTCTTTACAAAGGTAGCACAGAAAATATTAATGTTAATAGGTTCCCAAGGATATTCTAAAACACAACCAAATCATAAACCAGAACTACTCCAGGAAAAGTGATTTTTCTTGAGCCAGAATGTCCTAACAAGTTTGTTTCCAGAAACCCGATCTTTTATTCTAAGTCCAAAGGCTCAGCCAACACCTGCGATATAAATCGCAGAAATTGCGATAAATTGGGAAGTTGTTACAGTGTGAACGAGGTTGTCTGACTGTGGGTCCTCACCCATGCACTTAAAGGGACTTATAAGTTTCAACTACAGACACACACACACACACACACACACAAGTTAATAATGGGTTTATTTACGAGAAAAAGGAAGTGAATTACTCAGGGAAAAAAGAAAGAGAGGGAGATAAGAGGTTAAAGTGTCCTACCAGTTCCACTGAAATCCAATAAGGCTGCTTAACTTCACCCTCAGGTCCCAGCAATCCTCCCTTTGGTGAGGATGGGATTTGTACTTCTAGTGCCTGGGGTGGGGGTGGAGTCCATAAAACTGTATCTGTAGAGTCAGTTCAAGATATTCTTCCCCCCTAACAAAATCTCTGTAAGTTCTCTAAATTTTAAAATCATTAAAACTTTTTTTTTTAATCCTATAGACACTGGTTTTCTACTCTAGTTCCGATTTCATACTTTTACCATAGCATTAATACATTTGTTAATTATATTTATTAAATAATGGAAGATCTTTTAAGTTATTATAATAGAGAGGTAACTAACCCTATTGATTCTAAAGATGAGGAAACTGATACCAAAGAATTAATAACTTCCCAGAAATTTTTAGAATTCAACTTTGGCTTTTTTAGGCAAATAAACTAGAATTACCCTTTATGGTGTTGTCTGCCTATGTCATTAGTTTATGGCTTGGGATCTTTCATGAATGGTTTAGTTCATTGTGATTTCTATGAAATGTTCTATTGAAAATCTTGTCAAATAATGAAACAGCAAAGGAAAAGAAGACAAAAAACTTCAATGAATACTTAAAATAAATCAGGGTACTCTGTTTTTAATGGGTTGGATATACCATGTACATTAAAGAGGAACTCAAGAATATTTCTTAAGAAACAGTAGTTTTAGGTATGCAATTGTGAGGAAGATAATGATCATGCACCCCAAGGCTACGTGATTCCTCCACAGGCCCCAAGGTGAGAGATCGATGCCCTGGTTTAGCAAATATTCCTCGCCGGTACATCTGAAATTTAAGAGAAAACAAATATGACCATTCTTAACATCTGACATATTTTACTCAGCATATTCAATGCTCCTTAGAGAAGTCTGTGAGTTACCAAGACTTAGTTAATTTATCCCTTCATTTATAATAAATAATAGAGTCCTTACAACTCCACTGGGTACAGTGATACCCACATATAATAATAGTTCAGTTAATTCCTACAATCACCCTGTGGGGTAGGAATGATTCACACTTGGTAGCTTCTTATGTCCTCAGATTCACTTTTTCCAAAACTATGTCACTTCTCTTTTCAAAGGGCAGAAACATACCAAGCAATTTTTTTACATGTTCTCAATGTGGCAAACCTTAACTTTTAACAGAGGACATCTCAAGGCTCTTACTAAAATATCAAGTTCTTCAGAGACCCATTACTCACAAGCAATCAAACAAAACACACACAAAACACGGGCCTTTGCTGGTGGCACAGCGGGTTAAAGCACAGCACTAAAAAATTAAAGCCACTTCAGCATGAGTTCGATCCCTGTCCCAGAGGTGACCACATGGCGTGGCAGACCTCTCCTGACCTGCCTGCTAATCCCTCAGCAGTGTACTTCGTCAGTAGGCCTGTTCTGCTCCCCATTCTGTCTCTGGTGAACACTCTGACCACCCCTGCACCTCTGGCCTGTACCCCAGACCTCAGCAATAAGCTCCCCAGCAGGGATGGGGGTGGGAGGCAGGGGGTTGCAATGGAGTAACTACAGCAGGATAGATTGGGAACTTTCAAGCTGAAAAGCACCTGTGAGAGCCACAATTATCTGGTACCATTATTGGTGCAATTTTTAGGGCGTACCAGTTCCAAAAAAGTCATACCCAAAAGAAAGGGCATGAATAGGATAAAGAAAATTTCTCTTCATAAAATCTTTTAAAATTACAATTTGTCTCATTTAAGAATTAATTGTATCCTAACCGGAATGGTTATGAGATGTAGGAGACCAGAATTCTTTTCCCTCATGAATTAATGTATCAAAATTGATCCATTATCATCAGTAATTGAAAGGGAAGTTTTCTTCAATTTTCAAAACACCCTCTAATTTTATTGAAATCTACATTTCTTCTTGACATTATGCCAAAAAAAAAAAAAGGAATTTCCTTCTCAGCTTACTGAGATATGCATTTCTTTAGGAGAAAGAGACTTTAAATAGGGAGTATTCCAAGTCAGTTAAAAACAAAACACAATGATCTCATGATGTCCCCTAGCTGCAGGAAGAGGTCAAGTCAAGTGTCAGGATTGTAGAGAAAAACATTCACTCCCTTTCCACTCTTGTTACCCTTTTTGTTCTTCCTGTTGGCCATGGCTGGCCTCGAAGGAGGTCATAGGCTCCTGGTTCCATCCATATCATACAGCAGTATAGTTCAGATACTGGACTGCCCTGCTGGTTTACCAAAGCAGCCATTTCAAACTCAACTATTCTAAAAAGTAAAGATTTTAGGGCCCTCCCTGGTGGCGCAGCAGATTAAAGCACAGCACTAAGAAGCAAAAGCCACATCAGCATGAGTTCGATCCCGGCCCAGGAGGTGACCCACATAGCGTGGCAGACCTCTCCTGACCCACCCACTGCTCCCCTCAGCAGTGTACTGTTCTGCTCCCCAGTGTCTCTGGTGAATCCGCTCACCGCCCCTCACCTCTGGCCTGTACCCCCGTTCTGTATGCACAAATAAATAAATCTTAAAAAAAAAAGTAAACGTTTTAACCCACAATCAAAACAGCAATAGGATCTGTCAAAAAGTCCCAAATAAGCAAGGAACACACATTTCTTCAATTTATATACTATTTAGACCATAGCAGACTACTCAGGAGTTGTGCGGCACTTTCAAATACATTAAGTACAACTTAATTCATGAATGAGAAAGCCTAGGCCAGAGATGTCGGTGTCCCTGAAAGCACTCCTATCAGGTCTAATGACAGTGGCCTCTGTACATCACACTACAATAAGCAAACTCATGACACTGAATACAAACTTACATTGCAAATTCACAGGTACTGTTTGTTGTCACATTAAGGCCTGGGCAGAAGTTTTGTCCCAAAAATTCATTGTGCTGCAAAGCCTGTAATACAAAGAAGTCAGGGGATGGAAATTTTTAAATTTAAAAAACTTCCAAAACAATTACCACAATTCTTCCTACTTTAATCTTCATTGCTGTCTTTAAAACGAAACACACTTCAGGCCCTCCCTGGTGGCTCAGTAGGTTAAAGCACAGCACTAAGAAGCTAAAGCCACTTCAGCATGAGTTCAAGTCCCGCCTGCCCCGGTGGTGACCACATGGTGTGGCAGACCTCTCCTGACCCGCCTGCTGCTCCCCTCAGCAGAGTACTTTGTCGATCTGCCTGCTCTGCTCTCCTCTCTGTCTCTGGTGAATCCTCCCACTGCCCCTGTACCTCTGGCCTATAGCCCAGCTCTGTATGCATAAATAAATAATTTTAATAAATAAATAATTAAAACACACACACACACACACACACACACACACACCTCACATTCACAGTCCTGTCACACCAAAGCAACTAAAATTTTCCCTGGCAATCAAAAGGACCACGCCTGGGGTTTTATTTACTAATACAGAGGAAATAAAGTATTTTGGCCAAGAGGTAGGAACTCTGGTGATATGATCCCACAGCCCCTTCCTCCTTCTTTCTGCAATTTTGGAGTTCCATAAGCACTATAACTAAAAAGCTACAGTGGTTTACAATTGATACCATAATTTCAGGTCTAGCCTCCTAGCCAGGAGTGGATCCAGCTGAGGTGGCAGTGCTGAGCCCCGGCCACTATAGGCCACGAAGGGGTTGTGTCTCATGAAACCACAGCAGGAACTTGGCTGACTCTCAGGCAAACAAAACAGAGATAGATTTGTTTAGAAAAAGAAAAAGTTTACTGAAGAGAAAAGGAGCAGTAATAAAGGGGGACTCCCAGTTGGTGGAACCAGGTGGGGAGGATTAAGGAACCCCATGTGGAGTCTTGCCTCAGGGAATATAGACCTTCCTTGCCTGATTCTAAAGCCCTGTCAGTCTCTCTGATTGGTTAGACCTGATCTCACTCACTATCCTGTTGTCTACTTGCCCAGAACTAAGTCTCTATGCTCCCACCCTTCTGGGAGCACACTTTTCTTTATCACCTTCATTCCAGAATGTCCCAATTGCCCCTAATCCTGGAGGTGTTTGATTAGTCCTCTTTGGAATTTGTTGCCCTTATCTCTGGCGGCTTCCTTAACTCTCCTGAAGTCCCTGCAGCACTGTCCCTGAAGCTGCCTAATTATCCCTACCTTGCCCAAAGACTCACAATGACAATTCTTGATGTTTGTTATGATCAAAACTAGTTATAATTACTGAGAGTTAGAAATTCAATTATGGTATATTAAAACAAGTTACTTAGGAGACTGTTAGCTTTCTCGTAATAATAATGGCTGTATAATATGATCTTTGTTTTACTTCTAATTTCTTCCAATATAAAATATGTATTTTAAACTCCCATCATCTCCTTTACCTCCTGATTGAACTGAAATACAACTGTGATTTTTTTTTAGCATCAACTAGTCAATTCTATTTCCTTCATATGAGCTATCTCCCTACCCTCCACCTTCTTCAAACAACAGGGGCCCTGTGGAAACCCCAGGTGATTATCCAAGACTTAATAGGAAAACTATCATTCATTGCTTCTTGAAGAAGATTCTGTGAGACTTTCACAGCTGTGAGATGGTTAGGTTAGGCTTTATTTTAGTTGTTTCGTAGCTTGAGAACAATGAACCAATCACAATGTCAGAAAACTTACCGCATAGCCATAACGAGGAAGACTTAAGTATTGAAGCCATGAGAGCCAAGGCACAACAGTTCTGAGATTTACCAACAGACCTGAAAATATCTAGAAGAGAAGATATCAAGAATAAGAATTTAAAATCCCCTATAATCTTGGAAGCAAGTGCTAAGGCTAACTCTTTCTTGAAATTTCTTCCACTACCCCAAAGACTTGTCATACCCTCTTCAAATGTATACAGTATTACAGCTAAGGTTGATTGTGGTTTTAAAGAAAGACCATGTATCTAATAAAGTATATTTCATTTAACTGGAAATCCTTTACTCAATACTTTTCCTTTCCTAACTGCACAAAATGGAAGGTCAATGACACTGTTCTAATGATACAGCCAACAAACACACCAGAATACACTGTGAGCATCTTTTCCTCCTCTCATTGACATTTCCATAACACAGAAGTATTTATTACAAGGGTTTGCATTCTATCATATAACTTCAGGAATAATTCAGGGTTCATAATGCATGCTTAAAATGATCGAAAAAAATCTGGCATTGGCACATAGTATAATGTGGTGAAGCACAGTATAAATATGGCCACAACATAAAATATACCAGAAAGCAGTACTGCAGTGGAAATTCCAGGAAGGAACACTTCAGCTAGAGACACTATATGATAGAAAGTTCATATAAATCTCCTAACTGATTGATGTCAGGTATGCAGGGATGCCTACATTACTAATGTGACTACTTGACCTAGCCAAGTGCTTAGTTTATAACATACAGCAACTGGTAACACGCAGCTGAGAAAACAGCTGGTTTTATCACTGATTTTAAAAGTTCTATGTATATCAAATGAAACAGTTTTATATGTTAGAGACATTTTACTTCTTGGATGACATAGACTAATAGGCAAGTTTTAAACTCTCTCGATAATATTTAGATTGGTAATTTTCAATTTTGCAAGTGGGAAGAATTGAATTTTGGTAAGAATCTGTGCTAATCAATAATACCTTATAAAGAGATCTAATCCTAATTCCAAGTCTAGCAGAAAGAGCATGAATGGTATTAACTAAAAGGCTCTCCATTTCTCTTGATTAGTAGGAAAATAAGATAACAGGTTCCTATCACCTGTAATTTAAATATGTGCTTGCAAAGTTTAGGGGCTTATAAGATCAGCATTAAGTAGGTCTTTAAAAAAATGGAGTTTAGATTGGCAAGGTATGGAAGGTGGGTAATTTACATCGAAGCTCAACCCCTACTCAGAGGAAGGGCTTGGGCTTCTGGATGCTAATTGATCTAATTGATCACAGAGCACTAATTGCTGCTCTGGATGGGGTGGGAGCTGAGAATTAACCCATTCTCTCTCAGTTCCCAGTGGGGTTCCAGTTCTGACCTGGCAGGCCACTGACCCAGTTCCCCTCCTTTCTGAGTATAGAAGATAAGCTTCCATTTCAGCAGCTGCTCTTGCTCTTCTAAGACATTCAAATCAATGAAGAACATCCCTGAAGGATTTCACTAGCATGATTTTTAAATCATACAGAAGTGACTGTGTGAGAAGCAACTGAGACAATTTGTCAGAGGAAGAGAATCTTAATGGGTTAATGTTAATCTGAATTTTTTCTTCCAAAAGCACATGTAACTGTTACAGAATTCTGCATTGAAGCAAGCTGTCCAATCATGTCTGCAGGGCCATGGTATGAGTATCTCTGGGCAAACAGTGCCACTAATGAAAAGTCAGTCAAATACTCTACACCAAAATAAATTAACTATTTGATTACTTGGGCTCAGGATCTATTTGGCGATGAAACTCTTTTCCAAGATTGATGTCCCACTCCCCAAAAACTTTATGATGTGGCAAAGACTATCTAATATCTATTCCAGGTTATGTCAATTACCAGCATTTGATTCTGTGATGCAGCCCAGCTCAATGTCTCCTTGAAGCACTTATTTTTTTGCTCAGGTGTTTGATATGATTATCAGGCATGATTGGCAGGTCTTCAGGGAATAATTGAGAAGCTTGGGCAGAAAGATAAATATCTCTTCTAAAACAGTTCTCTTTTGCTAGAACAGTCACTGCTATCTGTTATGGTGACAACAAGTTTTTTGGAAACAGAAATGAAAACACAACTATTGTCTATATCTACTCATCAAATTGTCCCCAAAAGAAGTTTGGTCTAAACCCTTCAGAGTGAGGAGTTGAGGACACAGTCAAACCTGAGGCACTGTCAACCACTCCTCCATTTTCACAGTGACATTTGGCTGTAATATGTGGTGACTATCCTGTAGTTTATTTGTTTACACGTTATTCTTTTACTAAAGAAAATCACTAAGTCTATTTCAGGTGACAGCAACAAATTATTAAGAATTCCTGGCCCTCCTGGTGGCGCAGTGGGTTAAAGCACTGCACTGAGAAGTTTAAGCCACTGCCCATGAGTTCCAATTCCCGCCTGCCCAGGGGGTGACCACGTGGCTGGCAGACCTCTCCTGACCCGCCCGCTGCTCCCCTCAGCAGTGTACTTCCTCCATCTGTCTGTTCTTCACCCCACTCTGTCCCTGGTGAATCCTCTCACCCTCTGCATCTCTGGCCTGTACCCCAGTTCTGTATGAATAAATAAATTAAAAAAAAAAATTCCCAAAATTCATTACCAAGCTTACAGAACAAATTTCCTAATAATACTATCAGACCAGGTTCATTCTACTTTTATTTTATAAATAAAAAGAATTCTTTAAGTTTTCTGTAAGATTTCAAACAGATGATTTGTACCACTTTGGGTAACATTTTAGTTTGAAGTCTCTGTTAGTGCTTTTATAGTTAAGAATATAATACAAAATTTTTCCCCCCCTAAAATTTATGATTGCAGTTTAAATCACCATATAATGTGTGTGGTATGGTATTTTTCTTTTTTCCTTTTAAGCTGAGAGAGCAGGTTTGTTATTTAAAAAAGAAAGGAAAGGAGAAAAATACACTTGCACAGACACGTGGCAGGAAGAGCTGTCTCTGAAAGAGTCAGATTCGTTAAGAGACGCCTGTATCATCACAGGCGGGTAGGAGAGCTGCTGTGATATACAAGTAACTGAAGTTATTTCTAATGCCTTTATTTTTCATCTTTATGTAGGATTTTATTCACATGAACTTGCCTGAATTAAAAATAAATAAATAAATAAATGGAAATACACTGATGTAAGGAAGTACAGGAACCCCAGTACTGTGTAGACTCTGGAATTCTTCCATTATTTTAAACACTCCCTTTCAAAATACAGGAGGAACCCTAAATCAACTACCTAGGCCACATGCTGATTGCTCTAGTTCTCACCATGCTTAGTTCTTCCCCTTGAAAGGTAGTTGATCACCCCAACCACCTTAGCCACTGGGTAAGCAGCTGGCAGTCTTAAGGTCAGTGCAGAAGTCAGGCAACTAACCTGTCATTTTTATGAGGGAATCTTCCAATCAAAATGGTTGGTTTTTGAGGTGCAAATCTACCAAGATTTCATTCAATGTTACCAAGAAGCATCTTTTTCTTACTTTAACTCTTTTTTTTTTTAAACTAAGGTAGCATTAGTGCACAACACTGTATATTATTTAAGGAAATAGGTTTATCACGCTCAAGAAGCATCTTGTAAAAGTTCATCCTGTTAACTAAATGTTATAGAAACTATTTTACCACAGTAGCAAAAAAAGGCTGAATAAGGTCAAGAAAAAGCTGACATGTTTTCTCATAAAAGCTACACTTCACTATAAGGCCCCCTTAAAGCAGACCGACCCCATTTACAGAGTCCTCCAAGCAGATTTTCCTCGACAAAAGATTTTTCAACAAGCCAAGAGGGAGAAACAATCACCTCTGAGAGATGTATGATTCCTACTCACCATCATGAACACAAAAGAGATGGTCATAAGCAGAGTTGCTATGGAGACCACACTCTGACCTGCTGCTATGGCCAGTGACATGGAGCTGGCCGCATATGCCACCATCATCAGGGTGAACATCATAATGAAGAAGGACGCTACTTCCGGTTTCAGTCCTTAGGAAGGAAAGAAGAGGTCAGTCCATGATCTGTATGCTGAGAAGCTACTAACAAGAATTTAAAAATTTACCTACTACCCAACCACCCTGGGTCATGAGTTTCATCACCACTCTACTATAGAGTAGCATGACCCTTTTATACAGTTTTTTATACTCACTATGTAAGTACTTTTCCATATCATGCTGTGCACCTTTATATGTAATTGTTCATAATTTTCTGAGTTCCTGAGACTGAAGACTACAGGCAAAACAACTGACGAGAATTCTACTGCCTATCTAACAAGTATGAAGTATGTTTATTAAACCAATAAGCCCCTAAATGTCACTACCTTCATTTATCTCCATATATATATATATATATATGTATGTATATATGTTCTTCGTATATATGTATACACACACACACTCACAGAGTCATGAGTGGCTTGCCAGACCACATATAGATAGGTCCGTAGAGGCTATATCACATAACCCATGTTTATGGCAGACTACAACAGTTAGGCTTGTGTAATACAGTCATTAAACAACACACAGAGGGACCCTCCCTGGTGGCACCATAGGTTATAAAGTGCAGCACTAAGAAGCTAAAGCCACTTCAGCATGAGTTCGATCCCCACCCTGGAGGTGATCCACACGGCACAGCAGACCTCTCCTGGCACGCCCGCTGCTCCCCTCAACAATGTACTTCATCAGTCAGCCTGTTCTGCTCCCCACTGTCTCTGGTGAATCCTCTCACGCCCCTGTACCTCTGGCCTGTACCCCACTTCTGTATGCATAAATAAACAAATATTTTTTAAAAATGCACAGAAAAGTATAGCTAGGTAATAAATATTCCTCTTCAGCTCTTGTATCTGGTTTAGTTTTATGAATTCTTTCCATGTGTGTATGTGATGCACAGCACTTCTGAGTTAAACAAAATTTTACATAAAAATTAATTCGGTAAAAGTACTAACAGACGTATCTCAGTGAACAACTATTTGAGAAAATGCATAATAGCTCGGTGTCACAGCTTGGCAAAAACATGCTTTCTCCCCTTAACACCCAAGACTAAAGACATACTTTTGTCTCAGTGTTTACTTACCTAACAAGAAGTATGTTATACAAGTAAATATAATACTTGGCAACATCCTCATGGGCAGTAAATCTGATAACAATTTTCCAAAGAAATAAGATGACACCCTGTAGTAGCCACTGATATATTCATGTCTAAAAAACAAAAACACATACCGGCACCCTACATCAGTTTTGGAAGACAACAGGTTCACCGTGCTCATGTTTCTTTCCAGCCTTTTGATGCCTTTTCTCAATCAATATAAGGAACCCCCAAGATCCCATCTATAGTCTAATTCTGGGGCAACAGCTTGATCAATCTCCTTAGAAGCCAGACAGCCGCCTGCTGGAACAAACACACTCACATAAAGAGCTTCTTTTCCACCACGAACAGCTCCACAGCTGACACACTGCTGAAACACTGGTTGGTGGTCAGGAAGAAGAGCACTCCAGCTCTGTGATGAGAGACAGGGACAAAAGCACCACAGTCTATAAATATTTCTAGATCAATTTTCCATCTGAAAAACTCTGTCCTTAAATGATTCAACATTAAACAGACCACCATTCTGGTTAAAACAGAGGGGAAGTACAGACCCCATCGGGGCTCCAGCCACTATTTCTGTCTCTAAGGTACCTTAAAAGCCCAGGTAGCATCGTTCGAAATGCACAGCCTTAGGTTGCTATATGGACTGAATTATGCTCCTTCCCCTCCACCACCCCCACAAATTTCTCTCTTGAAGCCTTAAGTCTCAATGTGGTGACTTTTGGAGTTGTTGGAGTTTGGGGTCTTTGGGAGGTAATTAGATTTGGGTGAGGGCATGAGGATAGAGTCTGCATGATAAAATTAGTGACCTTAGAGGAAGAGAGACAGCAGAACTCTCTCTGTACCTGCCCAAGACAAGATGGCCATTGGAAGTCAGCAACTGTTCTCTCATTAGAACCCAGTCACACTGGCACCCTGTTCTCCAGAAATGGGGAAGAAATAAATTTCTACTATTTAAGTCACCTAGTCTGGTTTCTTTGTTATGACATTCAGGTGACAAATACAATGATGATGAAATTGCTATTACCCTGAATTTAAACTAAAATTTCAACTACCAGAGCTAAGACATGAACAAAGAAAACAGTATGCTGAACAATGTCTGTGAGTGCTAAAATGTCCAGACATACATAATATTTTTTTTTTAGCAAATGAACATATATACACACAGAGAGAAAGCTATCGGAAAAGTAAATTTTTATACAATAATTAATAGGAAATAGCCAGACCCAGCACACAGTTATACAAGTTTCTGCACAAAATGAAAATCAAAGGAATATAGAACATGGCAACAATTCAGCTTAATTTGGTAAGTCTTACATCTAATAGTACAATAATGTTCATGAATTTAAGCTAGAAGAGAATGCCTTCTAAGTCATAAGAATATCTATTAACAATATCTATTAAGTTAAATAGAGCTAACATAAAACCCAACTTGTCAGTTAATACGGTTAGAGAAAAGCAAAGGTTTCTCTCTGGCATAAATCAGTCCCAAAGTAGATAAACAAAACATTGTGCTTCCCCAGCAACTTCAAAGGACAAATAAGTGGAAGCAAGCATTAATCAAGAATACAGATCAAAATAAATCCAATGTGCTTCCTTTTATTTTTTTATTTATTTATTTTGTTTTATGTGAAAGAACTGGGGTGTAGGCCAGAGGGGTGTGATATGGGGTAGGGGGAGATGAGGACAGAGAGAAGGGATTCACCAGAGACAGGGTGGAGCAGAGCAGGCAGATCACACTGAACACTGATCACACAGAACAGGCAGAACACACTACTGAGAGAAGCAGCAGGTGAGACAGGAAAGGTCTGCTGTGCCACGTGGGTCAGCTCATGTGCAGGGGATCAAGCTCAGACCACAGTATCGACAGTGCTGAAACTCAACCCAAGAGAGGCCCAGATCCAATCCACTTTCCCCTAAAAACATTTTTGAAAAAGCCTAAAGGTGGGCCCTCCCTAGTGGCACAATGGGTTAATGCCCTCGGCAGTGTACTTCATTAATCTATGTGTTCTGCTCCCCACTCTGTCTCTGGTGAATCTTCTCACCATCTCTGCACCTCTGGCCTGTACCCCAGTTCTGTATGCATAAAATAAATCTTAAAAAAAAAAAGAAAAAACTAAAGCTCTTCTACATTTTTCTGGAGTCTACCAAGAGCTTTAATGTTATATATTTTTAAAATTCCAGTTGAGGTCAGGCTTCCTAACATTTAAAAAAAAGATTTGCTTATTTATGCATACAAGATGTGGGGTACAGGCCAGGGGTGTTTGGGGGGTTGGTGGCAGAAGGTTGAGAGGATTCACCAGATACAGAGTGGGTTACAGAACAGGCAGATACACCAAAATACATTGCTGAAGGGAGCAGCAGGTGAAACAGAAGAGGTCTGCTGTGCCATGTGGGCCACCTCTCTGGCCAGGGATCAAACTCGTGCTGCAGTGGCTGCGGACAGCTTCATAGTGCTGCACTTTAGCCCTTGTGCCACCAGGGGGGTCCCCTTTCCAATTTTTCCACCAAAATGTTTCCCCTACATAAAACACAAAAGTTCCAAAAGCCCTAGATCCCTGTAATAAATTGGTCTGTGTTGGATTAAAATATAGGACTCTACAAGGGAAATGTATGACAATTACTAGTAAGTTTGCAAATAATCCAGAAAATACCCCTCAGGAAAGGTAAAGAGAAAAATGGCATTATTCTGGAAAAGAGCAGCAACAATGATCTCATTGCAGAGTTAACACTACCTGATTCCACACTAGAGATATTTTATGGCCCTCCCTGGTGGCGCAGCGGGTTAAAGCACAGCACTGAGAAGCTAAAGCCACTTCCGCATGAGTTCGATTCCTGCCTGCCCCGGAGGTGACCACATGGCACGGCAGACCTCTCCTGACCCGCCCGCTGCTCCCCTCAGCAGTGTATTTGTCGATCTGCTGTTCTGCTCCCTACTCTGTCTCTGGTGAAGCCTCTCGTCACCCCTCAGCCTCTGGCCTGTACCCCAGTTCTGTATGTACAAATAAATAAATCTTAAAAAAAAAAAAATGGAACTTATGTTCCTTGTTCTTTCTTCAGTCTTTTCCAGTCATCAAAGTAGTCTACTTAATCTACTGCAACTTTCCTTTATAGTAACACAGGCATAACAATACCATTCACCTCTCTGCTCTAAGGGCTGATCTGAGATAGTGGGTATATTGGGGTCCAGTATGTGGCTCAGAGTTGTTCTCAGAACACAAAGTTCAAGGAGACTCGGTGATCTTCACCACTGCTAAGCACCTTTGATCAGAGCATGCTAGGCACCAGAGACTCATCATATTTTGAAAATTAAATTAACATTGTATTATGGCATCATATTAGTTTTTTTTTTTTTTTAAGATTTATTTATTTGTGCATACAGAACTGGGGTACAGGCCAGAGGCTCAGGGGAAGCGAGAGTCTTCATCAGAGACAGAGTGCGGAACAGAACAGGCAGAACGACAAAGTACACTGCTGAGGGGAGCAGCGGGCGGGTCAGGAGAGGTCTACCATGCCAGGGCAGGCGGGAATCGAACTCATGCGGAAGTGGCTTTAGCCTCTCAGTGCTGTGCTCCAACCCGCTGAGCCAGCAGGGAGGGCCAACATCATATTAATTTTAAGTCTGTATCATTTTAAACCAATGCATATACCACATAAAGTTCACCATTAAAAAGTTCAATTCTGGCCCTCCCTGGTGGCGCAGCAGGTTAAAGCACAGCACTAAGAAGCTAAAGTCCCTTCAGCATGAGTTGGATCCCCACCGGCTCCGGAGGTGACCACATGGCGTGGCAGATCTCTCCTGACCCGCCCGCTGCTCCCCTCAACAGTGTACTTCGTCGATCTGCCTGTTCTGCTCCCTGCTCTGTCAATGGTGAAGCCTCTTACCGCCCCTGAGCCTCTGGCTTGTACCCCAGCTCTGTATGCACAAATAAATAAATCTTTAAAAAAAAAAAAAGTTCAATTCTATACTGCACCAAACAATTGACCCTTTTCACCTGTTTGACCCTTACTCATCTGCCCCTTTCAGCAACCACTAATTCGGTCTTAGAGTCCCAAATTTATTTTGTTCTATTTAGCTCATTCATTTGATAAAAGGGTATTTTTAAGGATACATCACTGTGAGGGGTAAACTAAACACTACATAAGAGAAAAAACTGACTTCCACCCACCTCTTCATGTCAAATAAGTTAAAATGTAGTAAGAAAACTGACAGGGAATTAAAAAAAGATATATGAGCCAGGAAAACTTTTGTGCATCAAAGGGCACTATCAACTGAGTGAAAAGACAACCCTACAGAGTGGCAGGAAATATTTGCAAATCATGTATCAGGTTAATACCAGAAATATGTAGCAAATTTTATTTTTTAGTTCAACAAAATATACACTTTAAAAATGGGCAAAGACTTGACTAGACATTTCTGTACAGAAGATATACAAGTGGTCAGTAAGCAAGTGAAAAGGTATTCAACAACAATGGGCATTATAGTAAATATTATAAAAGTTGGAGACAAAATAATGAGTGTTGACAAGATTGAAGGGAAATTGTACACTACTAGTAGGAATGCAAAATGGTGCGGTTGCTCTAGAAGGCAGAATGGAAATTCCTCAAAATAAGATAGAATTACCAAATGATGTAATAACTCCATTTCTGGATATATACAAAAAAGAATTTAAAGCAAGACACAAATCAACACATTCATATTTACACTGGCATTATGCAAAATATTGAAAAAGTAGAAATAACTCAAGAGTCTATGGGCAAATGGTATAGGCATACAATGGAAACTTACTCAGCACTCAAAAGAAAGGAAATTCTGACATATGCTATGACATGGGTGAACACTGAAGATATTATGCTACGGGAAATAATCTGGTCACCAAAGGACAAATACTGTCTGATTTCACCCATAAGAGGTCCTGAAAGTTGCCAAATCCAGATAAAGTATAATTGTGGTTTTCAGGGACTGGGATAAGTATGGGAGAATGAGGAATTAGTATTCAATGGGTACAGAGATTAAGTTTGGGAAGATGAAAAAGTCCTAGAGTTGGATGGTAGTGATGAGTGCACAACAATGTAAATATAAATGTTAAGAGGGTAAATACTACATTCTGTGCATTTCACCTATATGTGTATATGTATTGATGTGAAATATATATGTATGTGTATGTATATATATATATATACACACATACATATACATACATACACACTTGTGTATATAAATACATGCAAGTGTGTGTATTTAGGGGGGTGTGTGCGTGTATAAACTCTAACATTCAGCTATTCCTCAATTTGCCCTGTAACTGTCTCAAGTTTAAATTAATACATTTCCATAAGCTCAAAGCAAAAGCACAATCTCAAAATGAAGATCCCAATTACTTACCTGTTCTGGATTCCTGCAGGGTCATTTTTTAGATCATAGAAAATGGCACCAACAACGAGGCCCAAGATGATTGTTACAATTATCTTTTCAAAACAAAAGTAAAAATAAAAAAGAGCTTAAATTAAAGGTAAAATTCATATGCCATCTAATCCTATCATAACATATGTAGCTACATAATCACATTTCTCCATTGAGATAGGAACTTTAAATGATTGGACCAAAGTCCATGGAGAATATAAAACAGAGTTATGTCACTAGAGTGCTTTGCAAGTTAAAGTCAAACAAACAAAACCAAACTAACTCGGAGTCCATCTGCATGTGTGGGAGACTGACAGACAAAGAGCACAGCTGGAAAGCTAAGATTCTTCCCAGGACTTCAGCAGGCACTGCTGGGTCAGGACCCACTTCAGGGCCTGTGGCTGCATAGTGAGAGGCAGAACAAGCAAAGTCGCAACAAAACAGTTTGGGCAATAAAATAAAATTCAAGTTGTTAAAGAGTTTTGACCTGAACTCACCTTTGACCTGAACTCAACCTGAATGAACACTTATGGTTTTAGATTTCAAGAGGTAAAAGTAAAAACAGGATATCTTTTACTCATAACTATGAAAATAAATACAATTTTAAAAGAACACAAAGAAAAATTCTAACAATGAAATTTTGCACAGTAAGGAAGCAGGGGTGAGCTAGGGTCCCCTCAGATGACCTGGGAGGAGTCTATGCCTGCCCTAGAAAAATGCACTGTCATTGTCATCAAAGCACTCAGCCAGCTTTCCTGATGGCACCCAATGCTTCCATGCCACATGCTGTCCCAGCATTTACCAACACAGCCAGGCCAGCTCGTGGTCAAAGTGCGAATGAACTGCCATGCTTGGGCCACTCTGACCTCCCTTCACTTACTCAGTGTGTTTGAAGGCTTCTGAGAAGATTGACAAATATCATTTTTGTTTTTAAGACTGACAGAAATCCACAAGAACAAGTCTATGCTATATCATGATATTAATTCAGTTGAGGAATTTTTTTGTAATTAAAAATTTTACTTTATTTTTAAATTAAATTTATTTATTTTCTTACATCATTGCTCATTTTTGTATACTGTATGAACCCTTCTAGACCCCCTCACCCCCACCTCTCTTGCAGTATGCCTCAAATCTACCGTCAGCTTGCAAGTTTTGTCTTTTCACTTTATCTACATTCTATATATCTATCTTTTTCCTTTTGATTTATTGCACTTAACATAATCCTTTCCATGTTGCTGCAAATGGTAAGAGTTTATCTTTTCTGATTAGTAGAGGAAATTCTTATTGTATTTAATATTATAGTAACCATAAAAACATAAGAGATGACAGCAATATATATATATATACACAACATATGTATGTCACCATATATTGTGGAATCCTCACAGTTCAAGCCTAAAGTATCTTAGTACTACCTAACAATCCAGCAGTAACAAGACTGGAATGTCAAGGCCACTGAGCATAAAGCAAATCAAAGTAGATCACGGGATTTTCGTCTTTGAAGCCTAGTTTGGAAAACCATAGTCTGGAAAGACTATGATTTGAGGTCTTAAGTTCCCTTGCTTGGGTCCTCCCTGGTGGTGGGTTAGGACACAGCACTGAAATCTGGCTGCAGCCGCCTCAGTGCTAGTTCGATTCCTAACCCTGAAGGTGACCCACATGGCACAGCAGACCTATCCTGACCTGCCCACTGCTCTCCTCAGCAGTGTACTTTGTCAGTTGGCCTGTTCTGTTCCCCACTGTCTCTAGTGAATCCTCTCACCATTCCTGCACCTCTAGCCTGTACCCCAGTTCTGTATACATAAATAAATAAATCTTAGGAAAAAAAGAAGCTTCTTTGAAAAAAAAAGTTCCCTTGCGTGTTTAAAAGATGAAAATGTGAACAAATTCTTGCCCTGGTATATTTTAATTGTCCCCAGAATATATTGTACTTTATGTCAAAAAATATAATCTCCAAAATAAATTATGATGATCACATCAACATGCACACACGTGCATACATACCATAATCTCATAATTTATATATTCACACAATATAACTTTAAGAACGTGCAGATGTTGCAACACTGTATTTTTGTCTACAAATCTGATATACCAGCAAACTGTCAATATTATTATCAGGATGTTTCTTAATGGCTTCAAAGTCCAAAGGACTTTCAAAGTCAGCATTCAACTTATTACAAAATGATTGATTCTGTAATTTTGTTGTACTTTTTTACAAGATGTGTCTGTTATTCTTTCTTGAATCAAAGAAAATAAACAGGAAGATAAACATTACACAACAAAGCAAGAGACATTATGATTCTGGGTATCTGGCCTCTGTTTTGAACAGAAGAGGGACAGGGTGTGGGGGTGGGGGTGGGGTCCGGCATAGAAGAAATTCCCTAAATGTCATTCTACCTTTGATCAAATGTGTTTACTATTTCTTGAGTTCGGAGGGATGCCCATGGCAGTCACTAAAAAATTAATCCACATTTCAAATGTTAAATTTGATCAGGAAGCACTTGGCACATTAAATCTCATACAGATGATCCATTCATTCCAAGATCTTCCAAATAAAACCTTTAGTTAAATGTATTATCATAAGCAAAGTCTGAATCTTATAAACAGCCAAGTTCAAATCTAAATATAGCTGTAAGATTACAGACATGAGATTTGTCAACAGGAAGTGATTAAACATTTCAATAGGTCCAATGCATATACTTAGAGAAGTGAACATAAAGCAAGATTAAAAACCCTAAGTTAAGTGATGTCTTCATCCATGAGCTAAGAATACTTTTTAACATTTCTTTTGTGGTAAAAAAAAAAAATTTTAGTATTTTTTGCCACATGAAATTCAAATTTCAGTGTCTGCAATTCCAGTTTACTGGAGCACAGTCATGCTAGTTTGCTCAGAGAGATGCAGATGTTTATCCTTATTGTATGATTATTTGAGGTAACTAACTGCTCTGAACATTACTGGGATTCTTTTGTGGAATTAAGTCCTTTGTGAAAACAGGCTGAGCCGTGGAAGCATAAGCCTGGCATCAGCATCTGAAGAAAGCCTCACACCAAAAATGCAGAATGTAAGGTATTAGATAGCTTCACATTAGAATCACACTCTGCCCAGAACTACTATCTATGTGACTCCCAAACCACTTTCAGAAGCAAAAGAAATTTATTTTATTATAAATAGAAATTTATTCTATTTATTATAAAAGAAATCTAATGAATAAATCACATGGAATAATTCACTGTCACATAACCTCACTGTTGAATCTTAATAATTTCATCCACCAAACTTGTTTCCAAATGAATCATGTCCACTCAAAAAATAAATAACGTACCCTTGGTCCCCTAGGGGTTAAGTCTCAGTGCTAATACTATGATGGCCTGAATTCCACCCACTACCAGTGAGATGACCCACATGGTGCAGCAGACTTCTCCTGTTTTGCCTTGCTCTGTTCTCCACTCTATCTCTGGTGAGTCCTCTCCATACCTCTGGCTTACACTCTGCTTCCTCTATGCAAAAATTAAAAAAAAAAAAGAACTTAAAATCTTGGATTAATATAGTACATAAAAATGCTCATGTTCTGACAAAAATGCCAAATACCAAGTGTGTCGAATAATAAAAATGTTTGAAACAGTATGGTCAAATAGGTTCTCCAATGAGCACTTAGAAGGGGACTAAAGTATGAGAATTATTGAGCACTTGATAAGGGGGTGATAGTATTTCATTAGATGACAACACCCCCCCCCCCCTATCTTTTAGGTCTCAACAGAAGTTCTATGATCAGACAATCCCCAAGTTAACTGGCTAAATTGATTTCCTCAGAAAAGATGGGCCAAGAATTGGGAATACTAATGCTTTTTTATGATGAAGAGCTTAAGAAAAACCATAAAAAAGTAACATTAACTACTAACAAACCCAGCCAAAAAGGGAAAAAAAAAAAAAAGACATCATTTTACCTTAAATAAAAGAAAGCTAATCTGACAGTTAGTGAATAACCTTATTCAAAGGAAGTCAAATGTGCTTAATATCTTTATGTTCATTGTAAATTGGTTTATGTAGCTAGTGTTTGCTTAAGATTAGAATCTCTAAATAATGATGGTCAACTATAAGGCACAGCATATGCACAGAACATCCCCTCACACAGAGCCCTGTGCCCCGACGGTTTTCGAGTGCATTCGGTGTGATCCAGGCAAAAGCTTCCCTGACCACTTGATTTCTCTCCCCTGTATCCCTCTCTCATTATTCCTTCCCTTTTTCCTCTTCCTTTTTCTTACATCTCTCGTTAGACTTGCTCTGTCCCTCCTCATAAGAAAATTAGCCCCACGAGAACAGGGCTGTTCCCCCATCTTGTTCACTGTTCCCCAAATGCTGTACATGGCCAGTGAGTAAGTGTACCAATCAGAAAACCCCAAGTGCAGCTAAGCTTTTTGTTTTCTTTGTCATTAAAAAAAATTATTATTTTTTCTTTTTTTTCTTCAACATTTATCCATTATAGCTGGTCTTAATCAACAAAAATCCTGATTTAGGTACTCAGTTAAAAAAAAAAAGGTTTGCCATAATGTGTTTTCCCTGTTGGGCAGAATTACATAAATGGGAGGGTGGGCAGGAGAGAAACATTATCCTAAAATATCAATAGATCATAGCAGAAGGAACCTTCCCCAACCGCACAATTACAAGACACTCTCAGGTTACCTGAGCTATAGAGGCCTGGGGGTTACCCAGTAAGTTTTTGAATGAACGTTTGGAAATCCATCTGAGTTGATGACAGAAGGAAGTGGCATAGGTGATTTCCTTGAAGCTTGTGCCCTTCGTATTTTTCTGAACTTCTGAAAGCTGATCCAACTCAGCCTGTGTTTCTCTAAAGAAGGTGGAATTGCTATAAAACTCAGCTAGTCTTTCTAGAAGTGGAGTCTCTTGCTTAGAAGGTTCTTCAATGTCCTTGGCTTTGGGATTAAAAATCAAGAAGAAAAATGTTATTAGCAAGATACAATTGATTTAACCCACTTTTCTGAAACCCCTTTCCTCTCTAACACCTTAATAAAACTTGATTATAAAAATATCAATTCTGTCATTACTTCCTTCACTAGAGAAATATAGTTCATTGGCTTGTTTCCAGAAACTTATGGATACAGCAAGCCTGCTGATCTTTTTCTAATTATAATATCTGGACTCTAATTTTTTTTAAATAGACTTCTTGCAAAAAGAAAAATATAAGATGGTTTCACTTCTAGGAGGAATATAGGAGAACCAAGTAAGGGATCAGGGAAATAACAATAATAATAATAAAATTAGCAGTCAACTATAAATCAGAGACATTCTGGAGGGGCAGGAGAGGGGTCAAAAGAGGAGAGGGAAGAGCACAAGGGATGATGGTGAAGGTGCGTGGGTGAATTGCTAACAGGAATTTTAGGGGGAAGTACACCTGAGGGGAGAAAGAAACATTGAATAAAAGTGAACAATGATGTCACATGTGTGTAGGTATGTCTGTGTACATGTACACAAAAACATATATATTAGACTTCTTACCATATAGAGTTTAACATAATTTTTAACATAAGAGCTTATTCCTGACTTTCTTCTATGTAAAAATGCAGATAGCCAAGTTTCTGATTTCCAAATGCTAAGCAAACAATGAGCAATTTCTTATGAGCAACGGAAATTGCTCATAGAATTAAAATTATCATATAAGTAAGTGCTCACTTATAAATTAAACCAAGTTTCTTGGACCTAAAAATCTGTGTTGACTGATGCTATAAATTGAATGTTTGTGCACCTCCAGAATTTAGGTGCTGAAATCTAATCCTAAATATGATGGTATTTGAAAGTGAGGTCCCTGGGGGATGGTTTGGTCAGAAAGGTCCAGTCTTCATGAATGCAGTTAGCACTCTCATGAAAGAATCTCCAGTGAGCTCTCTTCCCCTCTCCCACAATATGTGAAGAGGTACTTCAAATGTAGTCATCATCTGTGAATCTGCAAGTGAGGTCTTCACAGGCATGGAATTTGCTGGGATCTTGGTCTTGGTCTTTGCATCCTCCAGAGCTGTGAAAAATAAATTCCTATTGTTTAAGCCACCTAGTACTTTTTGTCACAACAGCCTAAACAAATAAACATGTCTAATTTAGAAGTGAGCAATTATATGATAGTGTCAATTCTCAGAGCAATTTTCATTTTGTATATTTACTCATTGTTTGTCTAGTGTTTTGCTATAAGAAACTTGGAGATTTATGCATTTTTACATCAAAAAAAGAGGACAGTATTGCTATAAGTTCATAAAGCCACATTTTAATGAGCTGCCATTCTACTAAACTTTATTTAATACAATTAGTTAATCTGTGACTCTTGGCAAATTTACATACCTTCACCACCTTTATCCTCTCTGTTTAACACCACGGCAGAGGAGTCTCCATTAATGACATCCAGGAAGAAGTCTGCAGGGTTATTGTAGGACTCACAGTGGTAACCTACAAAAGAGAGCAACTCAAATACACAAATCTGATACTTTTAAAAGGTAACAAGGACTCACTCCTGGGGGGAGACAGATTCTAACAATTCTCATTTTCTCTTTCCCCTTACTAATTTATACTTTGTTTTTGTATGTCCTACTCCACAATATTTCAACAATTCTATCTGTGAGCGAATAACCATACCCCAAACCAACCCTAAACACTGAGAAATTCTAATTTTAGTATTTGGGGCTCATAATTCATGAGACCTGAAACAGCTAGCAATGTGCTCTGGTGTTCACTAGAACCTTTTCAAATATCTAAAATAGGTCATCTTATATACATTAGATATTAAACATATAACATCTAAGGCTAATGCACCCAAAGCAAGGCAGCTTAAGGTAAGCACAGAACTGAGCTTGGGAGACGCCTCCCACGTGCTCTATTCTCTGAGTTCACCTCAGAACTATGTGGAAGCCAGAAGCCGCCTTAGCAAATGTGGCTTCCACTTCCTAAGCTCAGGTTTGAATTATCATCTATTATGTTACCATAGGATACAAGTCACCAGAGCTGCATTCACAAGAGAACACGCCCAGCAAGTCACTCAACACTTATCTCAAGTTCCTGCAGTATGATCATCTGAACTCATCCTGGCCTGTGGCTCTGACTCTTAGGTGCATCTCTGATAAAATCCCTGCATCCAGAAATACTGGATTATTATCTATGTTTGAGGTCATGGAGCATCATCTATAATCAAATCCAGGTACCTCTAAAGTGAAGCGGGCTGCACATAATGAAAAAAAAAAAAAATCACATTTCCATTTAAAAAGGAACCAAGGACTCTAGAAATTTTGGTCCAAAGTCAGGTTTATGTCAAGCCAGTTTGTTGAGTGGTAACCCACTCACTTTCTGTCAAGCCCTGCACCTGAAATCTGTTATTAGAAAATTAAGTAGCATCTCCATTCACCTTCACCAAAGTAGACCAATTATCTTCTACAATGGAAGATGGCATGGTAAAGCCTGAGCTGTTACACGGGCAAGAAGTCAAATAACTTCAGAGTATAAGGTCCTTCAAAAATTTTCAACTGACAGGTAATTCGCTTTTAGGCTAACATGTTTATTGAACTATTAGGGAATGGTCATCAGAATTGGCAAGTAGAATGACACAGACCCAAAAGAAATAGAAGAGAGAACTACGTAGCAAGCCAAGGTGAAGAAGTGAAGAAAAACTCCAGCACCAGCAGATGTTTTGGTCTATCAGTTCACAGACCAAACAGCACTCCCACTGAATCCCCTTTGTTCTCTGGGAGTCTTCTAATGATAATCTTACTGCATGAAAAAGTCAACCTTACCAGCTGATGCAAAGTAACCCAAGGCATCTTGAGCAGGCCCGTGGAACATCAGTCTTCCTGAGGCCAGCAAGGTGAGGCTGTCAAACAACTTGAAGATGGAATAGCGGGGCTGATGAATGGAAAAGATGATTGTTCGTCCCTGTTTAGACATCCTATGTTAAAAGTGAAAAAAATAACAAGTCATTACAAGTCTAGAACTTGTACTTCTTGTATTCACTCTGTCTCTGGTGAATCCTCTCACCACCCCTGGTCTACACCACAGTCTTGTATGCATAAATAAATAAAATAAACTTTTAATTAAACAAAAGCTAAGGTTTCCTAAAATGTATCCATGGACCAACTAAAATCAACTGAACAATTAAAAAAGGCATGCTCCTGGACAGTCTCCCCAGACCTCTTGGGTCTGGGAAATATAAATTTTTTTTTTTTTTGGAAATATAAATTTTTAACAAACACTCAGGTGACCTGTAAGCATATTCCAGCTGGAGAATTTATACTAGACTAAATATTAGAACATATATTTGCCCTATGCTCACTGATTATTTGAATCTTCTAATTCTTTTAGGAATTATTATTCACTTCTCTGTTTTAATAATAATAATATTCAGTAATTACTATGTCTCTGTTAAATATTTAGATAGGTAACTTCCTCTAAATTTTCACAATATTGCTACAAGGCAATACCAATATTATTATCTTCGCTTTATCTTCCCTATTATTATCTTAACTCTTTTCAGGTTAAGTTTAGAGATTAAGCCACCTAGTCAGAGGTCTTAGTCAGGAAGGGCAGAGCTGGGATTTGATGGCCCCAGGCCAAAACAGAGCTAAACTGTGTTTACACAGGAGTTACTACTTGTAGATAGAAGAAACAAAGGCCAAATAACTAGCAGAAACTGTGATTACCGAAATTGTTTTCTGACAAGAGTCCCTTCGATGTAAGTGCTCTCTAAGCACAGACCACAGGCTAGCAGAATATTATTCTGTCCCAGAGAGGACCAGGTGTAGATGTAGCATTTCACCACAATGTCTAGCAGAAGTAACAAAGGGTTCCTTTTTTTCTTTTTTTTTTTAAGGTTTTGTTTGTGCATACAGAACTGGGGTGCATGCCAGAAGTGCAGGGACAGTGAGAGGATTCACCAGACACAGAGTAGGGAGCAGAACAGGCCAATTAACAAAGTACACTGTTGAGGGGAGCAGAGGGCGGGTCAGGAGAGGTCTGCTGCGCCATGTTGGTCACCTCCGGGGCAGGGATTGAACTCATGCTTTAGCTTCTCAGTGCTGTGCTTTAACCTGCTGTGCCACCAGAGTGGGCAACAAAGGGTTCCTTTTAAGTAAAAAAGAAAAAATACCCTCACCCAGTCAGAAGATGAGGTAAATAAGAGTATCAATGGAGAAAGGGCTATCAGGGTGGAGAACAAGGCGGACTAAGGTTTGTGATAACAAGCACTATACAGGAAACTACAAGTAGTGCATTGGGGTGTGGTGGGGGGGAGCAGCTAAGGAATGACACTGCATCACAAAGCAAGCTCATCACAAACAAGCTCTTCACTCAGAAATAGAAACTTTTTTTTTAGTAAATAAGCAATAAGGAGCCAGAAAACTGGTAAGGAAAAAAGGGGATTTATGTGAGACCCTCACTGCTATACTGTGAGTAAAGTGAACAGCACCAGTGTTCAATATCTTCTATTAAAAACGGAGATGTGGGGCCCTCCCTGGTGGCGCAATGGGTTAAAGCACAGCACTATGAAGCTATAGTAGCCAATATCTGCATGAGTTCAATCCCTGGACATGGAGGTGACCTACATGGTGCGACAGACCTCTCCTGCCCCCCTCAGCAGTGTATTTCAGTATATCTGCCAGTTCTGCTCCTCACTTTTTCTCTGGTGAATTCCCACCCACTCACATTTGACCTGTACCCCAGTTCTGTATGTATAAATAAACAAATCTTTTTTTTAAAAAAGGGTAAAAATATGCTAATGTCTAATGTCATAGCAGAGACACACAGCAGCCACCAGCAAGACCATCACGGCTAGTGGGAGAAGTCAAAATCACAGTCCTAATGTCCTGAACCAAGAACACAGCATCGTTTCTGTAGTACCAAATCCGGTCATGAGTAAACCGCATGGACCCAGACTGCAGGTCACCCTGTGAAATGTACTCTCATAGCTGGGCAAGGACCTGGAGGCAGGGACAGATAGAGATCTTCTCAGACCAAATAAGACTGAAAAGGAGTATTTCTGAAGAAGACCAAGAAGACAAAGAAAATGAGACATGGCGGGACAGCATGAGTCTGACTACAGCCTACGAACTGAAGGTGTTGAGAGTGGTGACCTCCAGGCTGGGAGTGTGTGAGGTGGGATGCAGAAGCATCCTTGCTTTCAGTAGTTACCCTCCAGAATATTTAAGGTGACAGGCATGATGCCAGAAAAGCCCACGTAAGGGGTGGTGAGATGGAGCAAGAGCAAATGCACTTGAAGTGATAGTGGGGAAATCTGGGGGAGGGGACATGGGATTTCTTTGGACTCGTCCTTATAACTTAAAAACATGTAGCTGTGACTTTTTAAAAAATTGGAAGAAAAAGTGATGTCCAAAAAGGGTGAGCAAAAGCCAACTTGGCCATATCAAAATGTAATTATAGAAATTTTTCCAACAAACATGTTCCTTTAAGTCTCCCTTGGATAAAGGAAATACCCTTCCTTTGACTACAAAAGCCTGCATAATCTGTATCCCCTCAACCTTATCGCATGTCCTCCTTTAGCTGTTATGAATGGAATGGTGTCCATCCAAAAGTCATGTTGCTGAATTCCTCAACCCAGGGCCTTAGGGTGGAACTGTACTTGGAGATCAGGTCTTGAAAGAGGTGATTATGGTTAAGGAAGTTTCTATGACTGAGCTGGGCCTTATTCCATTTTATAGTGGAGTGTATGTATTACATATATATAATTATATATATAGATTTATAAACACACATAGCAGTTGACCAAATATTGAATGAATGGAGTAGTGTTCCAAATCATTTACCTCTTCAGGAGCAAAAGAACAGCATTTGCCGTGCTTGAGTCTAAACCAGTTGTGGGCTCATCCAGGAATAAGATGGAAGGGTCAGTGATAAGTTCCATGCCAATACTGGTCCTTTTCCTTTCTCCTCCAGACACCCCACGGATAAACTGAGTTCCAACCTAAAGCATAAATGTAATTATTATTAGTAACAACAGCCACAGCCACTATTATTTGTTGAGCTCCTAAACCTAACATGTGCAAACTCCCAAAGAGGTACTTAACTTCATTACCCTCATTTATTCTGAAAAGCAAAGAATCAATACCTGGGACAGATATATTTCCCTTTATTAGATGAGGGAACTGAAGCTCAGGTGAGAACTGGTAAGTGATTTAGCCTGATATGAGACCTGCTAAAAATTTCTGAGGTTCTTTATCATAAAGATACATGATTTAAAATAGTTAAGTCAAATAATAGTTTTAAAATATATAAGTCAAAACATGAAAAGATATGGCTTTCAGACAGTGAAGTCAATGTACAAAAAGGAAATAAAGATAGGAGAGGGAAAGGTGAAAGATACATGACTCATTAGTTTTCTTACATCCCTTTCTTTCTCCTGCCTCTGCAAAATCCTCAGATTGGGCTTGGCAGCTAGAAAAGTTCACTTTCTGACATACCACATTAACAGTTTGTAAATTCACATGAAGCATTCCAAATTGGCCCTGTCTATACACTGTTTCACTGCAAAATTCCTGGGTGATTGTTACAGACAAATCCAGAAAGTAGACTATTCTCCAGGGCAAGCGGCTCAGTCTTTTCAACCAGCTCAAAGTCAGTGTTGGGTGGAGGAAGTCAAAGGGCTTGGGAGACTCAGGAGGTGGGAAACAATCACATATTAAGCACCTTCAAAGAGATACTAATCAAGTGGGACTTGTGTTCTTGTTTGGGTCCTGTAACAATTGACCAGACATTTGGAGGTCAGTTGGGCCACGATAAGGAACAGTGAAACTCTGGGCTTGAATTCGCTGACCTTAAGTTACTGTTAACTCTGATAACTGATGGTGGTGTTACCTTAATTTAGTCAAATGTATTTTCTTCCTAAGGATGCATATTCAGGGATAAAATACATTATTTATAACATTCTTTAAAATACTTCAAAAAGAAAAAGTGAAATCAATTATAGCATAAAATGCTAACAGGGAGTGTAGGTGAATATAATTAGTAATCATACCAATTTATTTATCACACCATAATCCTATCATTTCTATAGTAATCCGACTATCCTCCCTACCTTTCTGTTAGGGCAATTTACATAAAAAGTAAAATAAATAAATAAATGTATTATTTCAATCAGATAAGCAAATTTGGAAATATCAATAGTTATGCCTTCAGCTCAATTTCCCTGGAAATTCAAATGAGAAAGGTAGGAAAGTAATTGTCCAATGTAAAGATCTTTTAACTAAACATAAAGAATGAAAGTATCTCACTGTAAAGACAAAATCAAATACAGAGCCAAAAGCAAAGGAAACTGAATCACTCTAAAACCAGCAGTAAGTGGTAAATGGAGGCATCTCGCCGTTACTCTTTCAAACAAAATCAGCAAAATACATGAAAGAATGTCAGAGTATCAAAAGAAGCAGCAACCAACAAAATATCCCCATTCCCCATTATCTTCAAGTAAATGATTATCACAGGGTGATTAAAATACAGCATCCAAACTGAAAAAGTTCCTCACCCAAAGCTTCAAAAGTCTCCCCAGTAAATTTTTTTTCATTTTTTTTTTTTTTAAAGATTTATTTATTTGTGCATACAGAACTGGGGTACAGGCCAGAGGCTCAGGGGGGGTGAGAAGCTTCACCAGAGACAGAGTGGGGAGCAGAACAGGCAGATCTACGAAGTACACTGCTGAGGGAAGCAGCGGGCAGGTCAGGAGAGGTCTGGCTCGCCATGTGGTCTCCTCCGGGCAGGAGGCAGGTGGGAATCGAACTCATGCGGAAGTGGCTTCAGATTCTCAGTGCTGTGCTTTAACCCGCTGCGCCACCAGGGAGGGCCTCCCCAGTAAATTTTTGCCACCGTTCATTACCTATAAAGTTCACTCACTTATCTCATTTCTTCTTCCTGCCCCTGAAGGACCCACAGAAGAAGGAGTTCCTTGTGTCTCTTTTGTCTCTAAAACTTCTAGGAGCCCAGCACATAACAGCCTTAAGTAAATATTAGCTGAACAAAGGGAATGAGGAAGAGAGAGGAGGGAGATGGGGATGGGAGACAAAGTAGTAAAACAAAGACTTCAGGAAAACAACTTGGATGCTACATAAATTAGAAATAAGCCCTCCTTTGACTGAACGCCATTTTGGAAGCCAAATTACTGCAGAGTGAGACAGAGAACAAAACCCCTTGGATTTTCTTCATGAATCAATTCCAGAAATATACCTCAAAGGCAGTAGAACAAAGTCCCCTGGAGGAAGAAGAGCTAAAAGGGGAAAGAAGGAAAAATTAGTGTAAAGATGGTGAATGAAAAATAAGTGGAGAGGACGAGCTGCAATCACGGGGCATCAGGACCTTTGCAAAGAACACTTACTGATACACCACACTCGCGCTATAATCCAGGAATCAGTCATTTTTAGGTTATTTTCCTAGTTAATTTCTACTTCCATATTACATACTAGTCACTGTTTTCAACACACATTTAAGAAAATCCATCTGAATAGCAGCTATACCATAGATGAAGTCATGTTTTTCCTACGTTACCTTGGAATCTGCCACTTTATCCAGACCTAACTCTTGAATAACCTTGTTAATCCGTTCATTTTTTTCATAATTCTTCATAGTGGTTGGAAGCCGAAGAGCTGCTGAGAACTGCAAATTTTCTCTCACTGTCAGAGTTCCCATCACGACATCATCCTGAAGACAAAGCAACTTTTTAGCAAAACATATCTGTCTTTTCTGGTGTCATCACTAGATGCATTTAATATATAAAATATACAAAAATAACACCCCCCATGTAGTGTTCTAGCTAATGATTAATTTGCAATTATACAAATTATAAGAACTACTGATACAAAAAGTTGTAATATCTGAGAGAATAACTTTCTCACTGTGTATACCTAAAGAGTGCACAGGAAATCATGATTACTACTAACAGGTTGCTTTAAACAAGGATTGCCACAACATCTTTCAGAGGAAGAGAGGTGATACCAAAGCCAATGAGAAAAAAAGTACAAAAGTACTACCTTTTGGAAATAATATAACAAATTGATATCACTGCCCTTATAAGGGTCAGATTCTTCCTGCTTCTTCATTACAGGAAATTTCTTTACAGGAAATTATGAAAAGCTGGTATAAAGGTGTTGGCTCTATAGGTATGTTATATAATCAACTGGAAGCATGCTGCACTATCAGCCAGGACACTTGCTCATATAAAAAAGGAAATTTAAAATGCAATTCCATGAATGCTTACTTGTACCACATAACCTGAGTTGCATTTGAAATTGGCAGGTCGAGGTCCTCCATTAATCAAAACATCTCCAGTTAATCCCTGTGGATCTTTCCTTGCAGCTAGAACATCTAACAACCTAAAAAAGGACACATATGCAGTTTCATTTCTCCTGTTCAGGCTTAGCTCTCAGCTACTCTGAATCCAAATTCTTCTCAATTTGAAAATTAACTGATCAAGAAATTCCATGATTTGGGGCCTCCGTGGTGGCTCAAGGGGTTAAGCACTATGAGGCTGTCCACAGTTGCTGTAGCATAAGTTCGACCCCTGCCAGGAAGGTGACCCACATGGCCTACAGACCTCTCCTGACCTGCTGGCTGCTCCCCTCAGCAGTTGTGTTTCAGTCAATCTGCCTGATCTGCTCTTCACTCTGTCTCTGGTGAATCTTGTCATCACCCTAACCTGCACCTCAGTTCTAATATGGATAAATAAACATATCTTTAAAATTCCATGATTTAATTTAAATTTTATGTTTTCAAAACTTCTCTCCTGGATCTCTCTGGTGATGCAGGGGTTAAAGTCTCAGCACTATCAAGCTATCACCAGTCACTGCAGCATGAGTTCAATCCCCAACCAGGGAGCTGACCCACATGGCACAGCAGATAGCTCCTGTCTAACCTACCTCTCCCCTCAGCAGTGTTTTTCAGTACATCTGCCTGTTCCTCACTCTATCTCTGGCGAATCTTCTCACCACCCCTCCCTCAACACCTCTCGCCTTCACCCCAGTTCTTGTTCGCATAAACAAATAAATATAAATCCTTAAAAAAAAAAAAAACAGGCCCTCCCTGGTGGCGCAGCGGGTTAAAGCATAGCACTGAGAATCTAAAGCCGCTTCCGCATGAGTTCGAATCCCGCCTGCCCTGGAGGTGACCACATGGCGTGGCAGACCTCTCCTGACCCGCCCGCTGCTCCCCTCAGCAGTGTACTTTGTCGATCTGCCTGTTCTGCTCCCCACTCTGTCTCTGGTGAAGCCTCTCACCGCCCCTGAGCCTCTGGCCTGTACCCCAGTTCTGTATGAACAAATAAATAAATCTTAAAAAAAAAAACAAAAAACAACTTCTCTTCTTTTAAACTATATGCTACAATAAAAAAATACGAAAGTATGGGGCTGTTGGCTGATCAGCATAGACCTTTCAAACCAGCCTCATTTGCTCCGACTTTGGAGGTTCCAAGGCTAGCAAGGTGTTCCTTTATCTAAGACTCAAAACCTTCCTTATAACTTCCACTTCATGCCCCCCTTTAAATTTTATCTGCTTCCGTTTTCTCCCCCTTAGCTCCAATTATAGGCTACAGCTGTATGCCAATAATCTTTTAATGCTTGGTTTACAAAGCCAACATACTAAGACTTCCTGGACTAGGGACAACCACCTGCAAGCCCAGACTCATGCACAGCACTTAGAACCAGAGTGGACATGCAGCAAATGCTCAACAAATACCTACTCATGTAAAAAAATCTTCAAGTTTATTAAAACTGCAATAGGGCCCTCCCTGATGGCACAGTGGGTTAAAGCACAGCACTAAGAAGCTAAAGCCACTTCAGCATGAGTTCAATCCCCACCCCAGAGGTGACCCACATGGCGCGGCAGACCTCTCCTGACCTGCCTGCTGCTCCCCTCGGCAGTGTACTACATCAGTCGGCCATGTTCTGTTCCCCACTCTGTCTCTGCTAGATCCTCTCATCCTCCCACACCTCTGGCCTGTACCCCAGTTCTGTATGCAAAAATAAATAAGTCTTAAAAAATAAAAACCTGCAACAATAGCATCAAAAACTGTTTATTATACTGTGTAATACTCACGAGGATTTGCCTCCACCCGTGGGTCCCAGAATAGCATTGAGGCCAGGTCGCATGACCCCACTGTAAATAAAGAAATATATGAATTGTACGAGTCTATTTTAAAACCAGTTCTATTAATTTAGGGCTTGCACTTATTGTACACAATAAAGCTGATGAAATTGCAAGGAACACAGCACAAACTAACTCTCAGAGAAAAAAGAAACAGAATATTGGTTAATAAAGTCTGTCATACAAAGGATATAAATCACTAGTCAGAACCTGCCAGAAAAACAGCTGAGTGGTCTATAAATTCCTTTTACTTAATCTCTAAACCATTTATATTTTTTGTAAAAGGAAACAAACTTTCAACTTTTTCTGAAGTAAAAGAATCTGGTGACTCATCTGTTACACCTACTTTTTGTTGTTTTGAAATTTAATTTTTTTTTTAATTTAGATAAATTGGTTTACAATACCGCATAGCATCCTGAGTGACAGAATCACACTTCCTCGGATGCATGTCCCATCCCAAATCCACCATCACCAAGGAATCCACAGTCTTTGATCAGTCAGCTGTGCCCCCTGACTCCCTGTTTTGTAGTGTCAATGCCACGGTGATTTCTAGGGTTGGTTTGGTTTGGTTTTGTCTGACTCTTCGTTATTTTGTTAATTGGGTTCTTCATTTCTTTGTTGTTGGGTTGTACTACTTAAATTTTGGGGGTTAACCCCTTGCTGGATATATGGCATATGGATATGTTTTTCCATTCTGTAGATTGCTGTTTTGCTTTTGTGATGGTTTCTTTTGAGGTATGAAAGTTTGTAAGGTTGATATAATCCAAATTGTTTATTTTTGCTTTTGCTTTCCTTGCTATTGGGGTTGTGTTCCCAATACATTTTTTGTGGTAGATGCCATGGAATGTGTCTCCTATATTTCAAGTACTTTAAGGCTTAAGTTCTTAAATCTAAATGTTTACTCCATTTTGAGTGAACTTTTTTTATGTGTATTGTTTAAAATATGGGTCTAGATTTTTTGTCTGCATGTGGCTATCCATGTTTCCTTCCCGCCACCATTTATTAAACAGGTAGTCTTTGCTGTGTGGCTGTGAATTCTTGTTGAAAATTATCTGTGCATATTTACATGGATTTATCACTGCGCATTTAATTCTGTTTCATTAGTCTGAGTCTCTGTGTTTGTCCCAGTACCATAGTTTGATTACTGTTGCTGTGTAACATCTTTTGAAGCCAGGAAGTATGATGCCTCCATTTATCTTCTTTTCTCTTGATTGTTTTAGCTATTTGTGGCATTTTGTGGTTTCATGTAAATTTGATAATTGTTCTATTTCCTTAAAAATGTCATTGGTATTTTGACAATTATTGCATTAACTCTGTAAATTGTTTTGGGTAACATAACCATTTCAAAGCTGTTGATTTTTCTGACCTATAACACAGGATAATTTCCCATCTCTTTGTGACTTCTACTTTTTGTAATATAATCTATAGGTTTCATCGTGCAGATCTTTTTTTAAGTTTAGTCTTAGGTATTTCATTCTTTTTGGCATTATTGTATAGGAGACTTTCTTCTGATACACTGGTTAGATACAGAAATGCCACTCATTTTTGTATATTAATTTTCTATCCTGCTACCATACTGTATTCATTTATTTTTTTCTAGAAGTTATTTGGCAGAATTTTTCTAAGTATATTAGCATGTCATCTTCAGTGATGATTTCACTTCTTCTCCAATTTGAATTCACTTTGTCTTTTTCTTGTCTGACTGCTTCACCCAGGGCCCCCAGGACTATGATGAATAACAGTGGAGACAGTTTATGTGAGTTGTGACTTGATCGCTTCCATTTCTGATTCTATTAAGTTGGGCTTTTTCTCTTTTTTTATAAGCATACTTAACAGTGTCAACTTTGGTTTCTGAAAAGAACAAGCTCTTGGTTTCACTGATCTTTTGGACTATCATTTTTTTTTCTATTTCATTTATTTCTGCTCTCATTTTTACCATTTCCTGCCTTCCACTGGGTTTGGGGTACTTAGGTTTTTCTTTTTCTAACGCCTTCAACTGCAAACTTTGTTAAATTGAGATTTTTGTTTTAATGTGGGCTTTATTGTTACAACTTCACACATATCACTACTTTTAAAATTTCTCATAGGGTTTGGTCATTGGTCTCTCTATTTTCATTAGTCTCTAGATAGGCTTTGACCTCCTCTTCTTTGATTTTCTTCACTGGGCCAATAGTTGGGCAAAAGCATTTTGTTTAGCTTCCACATATTTTGTGTTATTCCAGAATTCTATTTATGGTTAGTTTTCAGCATTATAGCACTGTGGTTTTTGAACAGGCCGGACATAATTTCTGGTTTTATATATTTTCTGTGGCTTATTTTATGCCCAACTACATGATGTATTCTTGAAAATGTTCCATGTGTTCTGGATTAGAAGGCATATTCACTATTTTTAGGATGGAAAACTGCACATATCCGATAAAACTATCTGATACAGTAAATACATTTAAGGCCTTTGTCAATTTTCTGACTGGATGATCTAACCCTTTGTGTCAGTGGTGTCCTTAAGTCCCTCATAATAACTATGATTTTGCTGAGATATTTTTTTTTTGCTCTGTTAATAACTGCTTTATATAACTAAGTGTTCCTATATTTAGAAAGTAAACACTAATAAGAATTGTATCTTCTTGATGAGTTATTCCTTGATTATATAGTGTTCATCTTTGTGCCTGATTATCTTTTATAATTGCAAGCCTAGTTTATTGGATATGAGAACTGCAGTTCTGATTTACTATGTGAATTATTAGCAAGGACCTTATTAAAACCTATTATAATCAGTTTGCTTTTGTCTTTTGTTTTTAAATGACTCTAATAAACAAAGTATTGATGGGTGAAATTTTTTCACCTACATTGTTAGCCTCTCTTTTATTGGTGAATATAGACCATTCACATTTTGGATGATTATTGATATGAACTGTTCATTTCCAGTCATTTTAGTTTTGATTTTTGATTATTTTATTTTTGTATTTTTTTCTCTTTCCCATGGTTTCTCTCTACTCCTTTGGGATGGTTTTCTTCAGCATTACTATCATTTTCTTTGCTTCTTTGTCTGCAGTGGCTATGATGAATTTTTGGTTAGTGGCTGCCATGGAGTTTTACTTGAATTCCTATATTTTAGCTTTTTTATGAATTGGTGTCTGCCTTCCAATATTTAACTATACTAGTTCCACCAAGTACAGTATTTGGTGTTGTTAACTCATACTATTTTTGCTGTTGGTACTGACGTTATATTGTTCTTATCACTTTGCTAAGGAGTTTATGTTTCAGTTTTTCTATTCTTGTAGAAATTTTTTTGCATCACTTGAAAGTGGATCTGGTAGCTTCTGTTTGTCTGAGAAAACGTTTTTAAACCTTCATATTTAATTTATAATTTTTCAGGACAGAGAATTTTTGGCAAAGTTACTGTCTTTTCAAACTGTGAACATTTCCTTCTTGACTGGGAAGGGTTTGGACTGAAATCCAGGAAATTTCTAATTTGGGAGCCTTTCTAAATTATTGTTTTTTTTTCTTATTTCCTGTAAAATATTTTCTTGATCTTTGACTTTTGATAGTTTGACAATAATATATCCAGGTGTAGATTTTTTTTTATTTATGCATACAGAACTGGGGTACAGGCCAGAGGTGCAGGGGCGGGTCAGGAGAGGTCTGCCACGCCATGTGGTCTCCTACAGGGCAGGCTGGAATCGAACTCATGCAGAAGTGGCTTTAGCTTCTCAGTACTGTGCTTTAACCCACTGCGCCACCAGGGAGGGCCAGTAGATTTTTTTTTGCATCTAAGAATTGAGGTATTCTCTCTGCTCACTGGACTTTCATATTTAATTATTCTATAGGTTTGGGAAGTTCTCATTCATTATTTTTTTAAAACAGGGTGTCCAGTCCTATTTCTTTTTCTTTCCTTTATAGGAATACAGCCATTGGTAGGTTCCCCCTTCTAATCATGATAGATGTTGCAGAGTTTCCTCATTTTTCCTTTGTCTTGATGTTCTCTCTTTTTCTAAACATGTAATTTGTTCATTTGAGTCTTCATAGCTGAAATTCTTTCTTCCATTCTGATTCTGTATAAAGCACTAAATTTGTCTGCACTTCATTCAGAATCTTGGGTGTGTGTGTGTTCTTTTTTATATAAGTCAATTTCCTCAGTGAGGAACTCTGTGTTCCTGGATCTCCTGGATTGCAGTCCAGACAATTTCTAGGCACACTCCTGTGTCAGTAAAATACCTCCAAGAAATTAGGCAAAGCCTAGGGTTTCCCTAAGCCTAGGTTGGGGAGTCAATCCCCAATTCAGGCACATACACCCCCTCCTCCTATTCTTTCCCCTCAGCAGCCATCAAGCTTAGTTCTTGAACTCTCTGAGGAAGTCCTGCAACAATATAGCTATTTCAAAGCACTTGTATTTTCCTAGGAGCACAGCTCAGTCTTTTTTATAGTTGTTTTCAAGGTAGAGAAATCTCAACATTTGGAATTCTTATACTCAGATTTTGCCTTATATACTAAAGGAAAAATAGAAATCCACTTTTGGAAAATATAATTGCTACTTTAAAGGGTGATGCTGTTACTAATCGCAAATCAAAGCTAAGATAAACAAGGACAACCTTTCCCTTAGTCCAGAAACAAGAACAACCTTTCCTTCAGCCCTTTACTGAGTAAAAGCCAGCACATAGGAGAAAGACTAAAAGCACCACACCAGCTAAAGGATGACCCTTTTCAAGGATGCCTAAACCAGAAATGTGAGTTTTCAAGCAGACCAACCCCTGATGTCCTTTGAGCTATAAACTGTGAAAGAATTGCAAGGTTACACTGAATTTTTATGAAGGTAGGAATGCACCTAAAGTAGAACTAATTTATTGCTGAAATGCATACCACTGAACCATAGAAATGTTAAAAATGTTGAGCAGGTGACACTTGTGCATCAAATTACTAGTCTACCAGTTTTAAAACATACGATAAATGTTAACTTAGTATTGCTTGTGTTTTAAATCTAGTCAACCCGCACATATTCAAATATTCTACTAAAAAATAGATACTTGAAACCAAATAGATTCTCTATAATTGTTCATTTCCCTTCCTACGCTACAGACCACTACCACAGGAATTTGGTTTTGGATAGTAAGATATAAATAAATATACTGAGTAGACTTCTAAATTCTCCTGTTACTTTGGAATGAATGCTTATGCAAAATTTATCGTATATTTAGTTTATGTAATGGAACAAAGTGTTAAGTAACTTATAAACTACTAGTTAAACAAGCACTCACTAAAACAAGACTATTTAAAATCCAAAGCACTTTTGCAATGTATCATTACTTCAACCTCTCTGGAACTCTTGCTTCCAAAACATAAAGTATGTAAGTAGCCTAAAAATATCTGTCTAATATAGTAGAAGACCTCCCTTTCAAGATTACCAAACTGAAAGTCAGAAATTATGATCATACTCCCATGACCAAGGAGTTGTAAATCAATCAAGTCTCTTTCCACTAAGCCTCATATAACCCAGAAAAAACTAAATGACATGTTAATTACTCAGTTTCTATAACAAGACTTGACACATATATATAACCACTTTGAAAAGTCTGGCAATTCCTTTAAAATGTAAACATATAGCAAACATGAGGTCCAGTTTGTATGATTTCACTTCTAGTTTAGCCCAAAGAAATGAAAGCATGTGTTTGAGTATTTATATAGATTTGCACACAAGGATTCATAACCCCTGCATTTGCAACAGGCAAAACCTGTGAAGTTATTATCTGTCGACAAAACAACTTATATATAAGTTCATGCACATACTTGACATTCTTTAGTATTTCTTTCTCAAATGTTTTCCGGCCAAGGAAGCCACTCTTCACTTTTACTCGATAGCAGATGTTATGAAAACTTAGCACAGCTCCATCACTGTCGGTCTTCATGTCATTGGAGGTGTTCCGGGGAAGGCCATTGGTGTTTCTTTCTGGCATTGTGATTAAAACTGGGCCGTTACTGGAAGACATCTGGAAAGTTTCTTCTGCCTTTCTGCTGAGGGAGAAGCAACACTAAGTTCATGATTCAAATAAATGATATTATACATACTAGATGACTGTGCACCTAAGTTCATTTTTGTACAAGCCTTGAGTTATAAAAGTATGTCCCAGGACCTTCTTGGTGACGCAGGGGTTAAAGTCTCAGTGCTATCAAGCTACTGCCAGCCATTGCAGCACAATTTCGATCCCCAGCCCCAGAGGTGATCCACATGGCGTGGCAGACCTCTCCTGACCCATCAGCTGCTCCCCTCAGCAGTGTATTTCAGATCTGCCTGGTCTGCTCCCCACTCTGTCTCTGGTGAATCCTCTCACTGCCCCTGCACCTCTGGCCTGGACCCAAATTCTGTATGCATAAATAAATAAATATTTAAACAAAAAATCAAACTAGGGCCCACCCTGGTGGTGCAAAGGGTTGAGTCTCAGCATTATGAAGCTATCAGCAGCCACTGTGGCATGAGTTCAATCCCTGCTCAGTGATCCTGCTCAGTGATCTAACCCACATGGCACAGCAGACCTCCCTGGTCTCACTGCCTACTCCTCTCAGCAGTGTATTTCATACATCTGCCTGTTCTGCTCCCAGCTCTGTCTCTGATGAATCCTCTCACCACCACCACCATGTCTGGCCTGGACCCCAGTTCTTATATGTATAAAATGAAGATCCACATGGTGTGGCAGACTTCTGACCCACCCACTGCTCCCCTCAGCAATGACTTTATCATTTAGCCTGTTCTGCTCCTCTTGTTCTATTCCCCACTCTGTCTCTGGTGTATCCTCTCACCGCGCCAGGACCTCTGGCCCATACCCCAGCTCTGTATTCATAAATAAAATAAATCTTTTAAAAAACAGATAAAGGAATAATAAAAAGCAAGGTAATACATGAAGAAGTGGCTATGATGAAATAGCTTCTCTAAACCAACCATCCTCCTAAGGTGCTCTTCCTCTAATGTGGAAGCAAAGCAATCAAGACTTGAACAAAAATCCTAGGAAAGAAAGAATGTGAAGGCAGCCCAGCATGCTGTGCCCTACCCTGAAGGCAAATTACAATCTCATGGGGCAAAACTCAGACAAAACAGCAAGAAGAAGTTGCTAGAGGCTACAAAACTGAACAAATTATTTCAGCAGTCTGTCAGTGCTAGAGAGACAAAATTTGAATTTGCAAGCCTTCCAAAGAGAAGGTACCATAGAGAACCCAAACTTTTGAGACCCCAGATGGGCCATGCTCTAGGAATAAGAACAAACCAGAAATAGACTAACCCCTATTCCATCAAGTTGATCTACTCATCCTTTGTCTACTAAAGTAAAACCTATTTTCAAAGGAGTTATCACCATCCAAATTTTTAATAAAATAGACAGAAATCCACAGACTTTCAAAAAGCTGGCTACTCTTTAATCTATGTACACAATGAATGGTAATAATGAATGCAAACTCTATTCTCTCAACACACTAAAAATATTCCAGCTAACAATCACATACCCCGCTACCATCCCCAACTGGTGTTTTATGACAACAGTTTGACTCTCTCTCAAGATCATTAAGAGAAATGGATCATTGGCTCAAGATGAAAAATCTATTTTTTGTGAGATTCTTTGCCAGTACAAAGCATCAACTGAAATTAAAATATCCAACAATGCTTTACCCATACCCATACATGATAGATGTCTAAAACTTTCAAATATTAGAATGTATACATGCAGTGAGTTTGCTTTCACTGTGACAGACACTGCAACTAATTCTCATTGCCTAGGAGTTGGTTGGTTCCTCACTAGGATTCTAATGTCTTCCTTTAGAGAGAGAAAGTTCTTAGTAATTCATGAGCCATAAGTCAATTGAGTACATAGGCATGAAAGTGGCACCCCTCAGCTGAAGCACATTAGACTCCACTCAATGAAAGCAGCTTTTTAAAAATGTTTCTGAACACGTATGAAAAATATGATTACAGCATTATGTTAATACGAAACAGAACAACATATAATAGTAGTAACAAAATAAAGGCAATTCCTTGGTAATAACAGCAAAGAATTCAATTTTTTCATTAAAAAATTAGAGGGAGCAGAACAGGAGGAGCAGAACAGGCTGACTGACAAAGTCATTGCTGAGGGTAGCAATAGGCAGGTCAGGACAATCTGCCGCACCATGTGGGTCACCTACATAAAGGGTAGGGATTGAACTCATGCTGAAGTGACTTTAGCTTCTTAGTGCTGTGCTTGAACCCACTGCGCCACCAGGGAGGGCCCTCCTTTATCTTTTTTTTTTTTTTTAAAGATTTATTTATTTGTGCATACAGAACTGGGGTACAGGCCAGAGGCTCAGGGGCGGAGAGAGGCTTCACCAGAGACAGCGTGGGGAGCAGAAGAGGCAGATCGACGAAGTACACTGCTGAGGGGAGCAGCAGGCGGGTCTGCCACACCATGTGGTCACCTCCAGGGCAGGTGGGAATCGAACTCATGCGGAAGCGGCTTTAGATTCTCAGTGCTGTGCTTTAACCCGCTGCGCCACCAGGGAGGGCCCCTCCTTTATCTATTTTTAAGATGCATTTTATGCATATAAGGACTGGGGAACAGCAGAGGTGATGGTAGTGGTGAGAGGATTCATCAGAGACAGAGCTGGGAGCAGAATAGGCAGGTGTATTGAAATACACTGCTGAGGGGAGTAGGGGGTGAGACCAGAGATGTCTGCTGTGCCATGTGGGGTTAGATGATTCACCATAAGTAACTGTCATCAGGAACATGTTACTCTTTCCCAATAGATGGAAGTTTTCTGGGCATATGTGTTGGGGCTCATGGGCTTAGCATATAGCCTTTACATATTAGAAACCTTGTACAAGACAAGTCAAGGAGATGTAACTGTACAACAGCACAGGGAATTTGAAAGACTAACTGTGATGATCATGCACAATGTACATAAATGTTGGATCATTATGGTGAACACCTGAAACCAAAATAATGCATGGCCACTATACTTCAATTAAGACAAACGTATTTGTTATCTAAACCAATCAATAAAAACCTCTGAGTCATATCTGTCCCTATTCTAAAAATCTGTTTTCTTGCTTCCAGAATCCTTCCTGGTCCTAATTCGGTTTTTACCACTTTCGTGTCCCAGATGCTCATCTTGAAGACCTTAAGTCCTTTGATAAGAAAAGCATCTAAAGGTGTGATAGCGCATCTGAACCCAGCTAACACGTAATCTGAACTGATTGTATCGCTCAGTCAAGCAGAAAACTCCTTTCAAATAAGATCAAGGAATTTGCATAGATTCTTTATGTCTTTCCAGCTATCTCGTTTCAGGCATCCTCCTAGATCACCTTCTAATTCTTTTTCCTTTCTAACTAGGGAGGCCACATCCTTATTCTTTTTGAAAACTTGGAACCGTTTTTCTTCCATAGACGCTGGCATACATATTGTAAGAATGATAACCTACATTAAAAATACCACTTTTCAGTAGATCTGCTTGTTGTGCTCCCCACTGTTTCAGTGAATCCTTCCCCCAGCCTCATCATGGCACCTCTGGTCTATATTCCAGTTCTTGTGTGCATAAATAAATGAAAAGAAATCCTTCAAAAACAAAAACACTATTTTTGGCCCTCTCTGGTGGTGCAACGGGTTGGGGTGCAATGCTGCAACTAACCACAGCCTCTTCAGCGTGAGTTTGATCCCCCGCGAGCTGACCCACATGGCTGCCCGCTGCTCCCCTCAGCAGTGTACTTTGTCAGATGGCCTGTTCTGCTCCCCACTCTATCTCTGATGAATCCTCTCGCTGTCCCTGTTCCTCTGGCCTGTACCCCAGTTCTGTATGCATAAATTATCTCTAAAAAAGTTCATAGCTTATTTAAAAAAAGTAAATTCAAAAATACCGTTTTTAAGATACTCTTAACTGACAGCCCACTGTCTACCAAGCACCTACCACAGTAGAGGCCACACCAGGACAAGGAAAGCCTACAGGAGGATTCTGAAGTCTGCAGCCAGATCCCTCCCGACAGTGACAGCCATCACACAGTTAGGAGAGTGGCAGCTCAAGAGTTCTGAGCCCTCCTCCTGGAAATAATACTAATATACGCGATTTGCACTCTGCTTCAGAGGCATCCGGGCATCCTTGTAAGCATATGCCCACTTCAGCTATTTAATGCCAAGAAAATACAATCTTGACATGGAGCTAGGAATTCTTAGATCTCTAACAGGTGATTTGTGAATGGACAGAAATAGGAGCAGAACAGTATTGAATGCAGTTAGGAAAAAAAAAATCTGAATTTTAACTTCCATATATTATCTCTCTCTTTTTTTTTAATGTCCTCTGCTCATCAATGTTGTCTCTCATGTGACAGATCACACACATGGAGGCATCCAGAGTTGACACTATATATATAGGCCCAGAGACTCTACTCAGCAATGTGATATTGGTCAGATTGAAGTGCTCCAGGCAAAAGAGCATCCCAAGGCGTCTGGGAAGCTGTAGCACTGCAGCCACAACACCTGAGAATGGGACACAAAGGGCCAAGTCAGCCAGACAGAAAGGACGAGCCCGCTGTGCAAACCCAGTCAGCAAGGAGACACTGAGGCCTTTTAAAGGAGAGACGTTCATAATTTTAAGTGTGTTTTTAAAAGACTCTTGTGTAGCAAGAATGAAAGCCAAGGGCTGGTTAGGAGACTACGAAGGAAAATTAGGTGAGATGCGCTTGAACTAGGGGGAGGCTGGAATCACAGAGGGCATGCTAAAGTTCAGGGGCTCAAATCCATCACAAGCACTTTCAGATGCTTGTGAGACAGACACCAGAGAGGGAGAGAAAATGTGTTTAAAAACCGAGAATTATAGGCTGGATTCCTAATGTTACAGGACATGGAGCGGAGCACCCCAGAAGCCGCAAACCTACCAGCTCTAAGTAGGTTCTGGCATCCTCCGCATCAAGACAAAACATAGACCATTAATGGAAAGAAACTTAAATACAATGAATGGGGCAATACAGAAAAATAAAAAAATATAGTTTCCAAATCATAACA